TTCAACCTACATACAAGGTGCCCAGTGCCATGACGAAATCCCAATGGCTACCTCATATAGATACTTTCATGTAGGATACCATTTAGAAAGGCTGTAGATACATCCATTTGGTGTAGCTCCAGTCCTAGAATTGTGGCCAATGCCAACAGCACCCGCAAAGACTCATAGCGGGCCACGGGAGCGAATACCTCCTTGTAGTCGATGCCATATAGCTGTGTGTTACCCTGAACAACCAGCCTAGCCTTAAAGCGGTCAACAGACCCATCTGCATGGTACTTGACATCAAACAGCCAGTGGCACCCAAGGGCTCTGCGTCCATTAGGTAATGGTACAAGTTCCCATGTATTATTACTCAAAAGGGCATCATATTCTGCTTTGATTGCAGACTCCCACTGTTTAGCGTAAGGACTTAGTCGCGCTTCCTTAATCGATTTCGGAACAGGGATTCTGTCCGGCTTATCTGACGCTACAAGATTTAGCTGGGTCACGTAGTCACTAAGCCTTACGTTGCGTGTTCGCTGCCGTTTTGATCGACGGACGTCACTGGTAGCCTGTCGCTTATCTCCCACTAGTCGGAATGTCGGTGGGTCAGTGACCGGTTCTGAGCTTTCGTCAGCCGGCACTTCACCTGCAACTGTGCCTCTTGGTTGTTTGCCTAGCTGACCGATAGCATGTACCTCTTCGTGATCAATGCTGGAGTCCTCATTGGGAAACGAGCGTCTGATCATAGCCTCTGTACCAGTCAAACTAAACTTCACATCTCTCGCTATAAGATACTTGTTCGCCTTCACATCAAGAAGACGGTACCCTTTGTATTTTGGTGAAAGTCCCAAAAGCTTGCACTCAATTGCCCTATCACCCAGCTTTGGGTCCTTCCTTTTTGATTTAGGAACATGTGCGAAACACTTTGAGCCCCAGATCCTAAATGCTAAACCACTGGGTTGTTTCCGATGTAACAGCTCATACGGGGTTTTCATCCCGAGCCTCGCCATAGGTAGTCGGTTTGTAATATCGACAATATAGAGTAGAGCTTCGGGCCACCACTTTGCTGGCATATTAGCCCCTCGAAGTGCACAGCGCACACCAGCCATCATGGTTTGATGTGCTCTTTCAGCACTCCCATTTTCTTTTTGGGATTCGACGTTAGAGCTTTGGAAATCTAGACCGAGTTTAGAACACAGTTTAGAAACCTCACTATTTAGGAACTCAGTCCCACCGTCTGTCCTAATTCTGCGAACCTTAAATAAGGGAAACTGTACTTCCAACTGTTTTAAGAGGGTCCGGATTTTGCCTCGAACCTCTTTCAAGGATTTTACTGCAAAATACCACTTATAGGCAGTGGCATCATCTACCACTGCAAGGGCACACCGATAACCGAAGGAACCATACAGTCCATTAACCCTCAACCTTCCAGTAGAGTCCATGTGCAGAGTGTGCAATGGCTCTGTTGATTTGTTTCCTATCAAATTCCTGTAGGACATTCTGCGATCCTTCATTGAGGCGCATGTACTACAAAATAATGAAACTTTCTTGAGTTCTGAGTAAGAGAGGTTAGGTAACCCCTTTAGTTTCTGATTGCTCATGCTTCTAATTAGGCGTTCTTTGCTCACATGGCCTAATCTCAGATGGCATTCCTTTAGTATGTCTCCAACTTTGCTTAGTTGAGCATTAAAAACACTCTTTCTAGCTGGTTTCGCGCTCGGTAAGTAGTAGACTTCGCCTATTGCCACAGCTGCAAACAGCAATTTAAATTTCTTTCCTAAAAAGAACAGAAAATCACCTGATTTAGACTGTAGGTGTCTATAACCGTGCCGAGCAAGGTAATATGAACTGAGTAAGTTGCTATCACACTGTCGGTCAAACGAAATATCTGTCAATGATATATCACTTAATCTTCCTTTTGGAGTCAAAACGCTAAGTTTTATTGATCCTTTAAGAGAGCTGTGTGAAACAGTTCCATTACCGTAAGTGAACACGGTATTCTGGCCAGGTCGGAGCTTCCCAGTAAACCAGCTTCTGTCTGATGTTATAGCTCGGCCTCATCTTCGAGTTGGTCCATATCTTGGAGAGCCTCATTTGGGGTCTGGGTTGAGCTACCCATGTCCTCAAAATCCTCATGGAGGGCTGGGTTTAAACTCTCAATGTCGTCCATAGCCTCATCCTCCATGCACTCCTCCAACAGCGTCTTTCCGTCCTTGTTGACGTGCGTCTTGCCGTCCTTCACAACCGCTGTGATCGTGTTGATAGCGGTCGTCCTGCTCTTTTTGGCCTTCTTTGCACCTGGTGCCGTGTTAACGTCGGTGCGGAAGAGGGGTCCACCTGAGCGGTTGGGGTCCCTGTCGGCAGCCATAGTCGGGCAATTCGCCTTGAAGTGTCCCGTCTGTAGGCAGTAGAAGCACTTGCCACCCTCATTGCCACCCATTTTTCGCTTTTGCCCACCATTCACCCGCACGTTGTTGATGGTGATCGGGTGGGACTTATCCATAAGACCCACTTCTTTCTTGGACTTGTCTCCAAATATCTTGCGCAGTGCGCTCTCGTCCTGATCGATATTGAAATCGCCCTTCTTCAGCGAGATCGAAGAGGCCCAGAACTCGATAGGCAGCTGTAAAAGGACCTCGACACACACCCAGGACTCTGTCACCATTTCCTCATCGAACAGCTTCTTTGTCTTTCTATTGATTTCGTTCTTAGCCTTCTTCAGTTGCGCGAACAGCGACCTTAAGTCGCGCCATGGGCCGCGTGTCAACTTAGCCCAGGCTCTCATCAAGTCGATGAGGCCAGCCGCGTCACCCTGACCGAAATCCTTTTCCAGGAGCCGAATCACTTCGCTGGGGTCCATTGAGGACACCACGTCCGGCAACGTGTTTAGGAAGAAGTCTGGGAGGACTTGGTTGAGGAGGTTCTGAAGGTCTCCTCTTCCTCTCATCCAGTGCATCATGTCCCATCTGATAGAGAGCGCCTCTTGCTCATCCATAGTATTGGTCGGTGATGGTGGCTTGTCCGGACATCCCCGCAGGAAGTCCGCCATGAGCACCTTCGCTTCAGGCTGGCCCTTTTCCAGCTGCTTGCGTTGGTACTGATGGTCGAGTTGATTGACGTGCGTCAAAAGCTTGTCTTTCCACATTGTGTACGACTTGCCCTTAAACTTCTCGAGTCCACCGCCAGACTTAGCATCGGTGGACATCGGAGTACTTGAAATGTTGCGTACAGCTGTAGGTAGTTGTTGATCTAGGCCGTCAGTTTGGAAGTGAGATGGCATCGGCCATCTCTCCATTACATCCCTCGGCTTCACCTATCTTAGTGATGGGGCACGCGGCCTCTTTCTTCTTGAATGGCTAGGACGAGTTGCTGCCATCGCAACCAATAGCAGAGAGCTACACCATTATTGACCTATCATTTTACTTCATTTCTCTGCATACAAACTGAATGATATTGCGGCACAACACATCGTCACGTGCTGATCCAGTGCTGGGTATGGTCATTGGGATCAAATTTACTGAGATGCGGTCCTCAGGACGTGGCAATCTCGCTTAGATTCGCCAGCGATAATTACTGTGCAAAAGATAGAGGGAGATTAATTTGTTTATCTCGCTTGTCTCCCCTTCCCTATCCCAGGCGCTCTGTGATCCACACAAGTCTTCATATCCATGTTCAGACCACAAGGTCCGGAGCGGCTGCTCGCCGTTGACTTTCGCGACAGCTATCTATGGTGTCGGCTCCACTTCAATAGATCAATGGATCTCATCCTGTATAACAATAGGCGGGTGCCACGAGGAAGCGTAGCAAGCCTCAGATGCATACGTTGACGGAGGCTGTTGTCGAATGCATAGTCCTCGCGGCCGCGGGGATGCTTCATCGACAATACCCGTTGAAAGTACAACTACATGTGTTACTCGATGCTTAGTGGTCATCACGGTTGGCAGGCTTTTTGACCAATTAAGTTTAAAAAGTATCCATGTGAGAATGAAGCGACTCGCCACCTTGCTAAATTTCAGTCAGGTTTGCAGGTACAAATCTAGTTATCCTGAGTGGGCCACTGATTTTAGAAAATAAAATCTAAAGAATATAATGATTGATATTTTTAATTAACACAATACGTAGCCAGCATGCTAAGTCACACTAGCGCATTTTTCAGTTAACCGTGCCCGTGCGAAAGCCTGGTTATCGAAGGGCGAATATAAATCATATTCGTGCTTACAATATTTCCTCTCTCGTTAAAATGTAGGAGGAGCGAGCCGATTCCAAAACTCTTAGGCCGTGTTCAATTTAAGCTAAAACCAGCTGTAATTGGTATTAAAGAGCTGGAATGTCTCAACCAGCTTTATTCCGCTAAGAAACACAAAAAATGACATCCAGCAGGATAGCTCCAAACGACTGGTTTCAAAATTTAGCTCTGGGTTGAATTTTGAATCGTCCTGCTTTGCGCCTTCAAATCCAGCCTTTTTCTGATGGAACACGATCACTTATTTTATCTTTATTTTACTTAACAAAACGACTGTTCTACAGCTCTAGCTTATTTTCGAACAAGCTGGATTTGCCCCTGCAAACCGAACACGGCCTTAGGGCCGTTCTTAGCCAAAAAATAACGGTGGATTGTGCTTCCATGGCCCAATCATTTCACTTGGATCCATATGGCAGTGGACGCCGTATGGTCCGTTTGATCCACGTCCACTGTGTGAAATTAGGGTTGGTGGCCGTGGACGGAAGGTGGATGGGAGGAGAGACATACCTGACGGGATAGAACGACACCTTTGGCTGGAGTTTATACAGCTCATTCCATCAAGTCTCCTGAAGCACTCAGTCCACATCAGCAACCAGCGGTCCCCTGTCAATCTATAGCCATGTCCTCCTCCTCCGTTATGTCTCCTCGTTTGCCTTCACCTAAGGCATCTCCAACTACCGCTACATCTGACGGCGGCATTCCCGCGACTGCATCGACTATTGGTGATGTCATGTACAACGGCACCATGAATCTAGAGGAAGCCGAATCGTGTCTGATGGCATTTGGAGCTAAACAACTTCGCACAGAGTGTTACCTTCGGCAGCTACGTATCGTTAAAAAAGGCCCGGACGCCAACGACCACAAGTCAGGATATGTTGCGTTATTAATGCAACAGAAGCGCGCGTTCAGCGAGATGCAACGTCTAGGTGTGGAGGAAGGTCCGGCTGAACGCGGTGTAGTGGGTAACAAACGTCGTACTCGCCACTGCATGCTACGGCTTTTGAATGTCATGTTTTCGGATTTATTTGCACACCGGCTTCATGAAATTGACGCTAGAGCAACCAGGGCCGAGTTGGATACAAACATGACTCAAGAAAAAAGCACATTTTGGACGGATTTTCACTCAGCGTACTTGAGTTCCCGTCCAGAATTCAGCAAGCTTGTTTCACCTCTGGCAGTATTCGAAAAATGCAATCCTGAGTTCACCGTTCCTCACGAAGCTGCAAAATTACGAAATATGTGGAAGGATATTACTGGTCGTTATGCTACTGCTGTGGCGAACTCTCAAATTTCAGGCGTGCACGACAATGATTTCTTTTCTTTCTGCTCCGGAAAAATCGACGTCCTGTACATGCGTGAGTGGATGCGTGAAAAACCTGGTTTGTTGGAGTCCGTAGAAGGGAAACTGCCAAAACGTGCTCGTTTACATACAATGGAGGGATGTAGTGACAGCGACGACGACGAGGTTGGAGGATCTCGTCAATCAAAAAAACAACGTACTCGCTCGAAGAAAGGGAAGTCAAAAGTGAAAGAGATCAATTTGAGCGATATTCTTACGACAATGCAAGCCAATAACGCCTCGGCTCAGGCGCTTGAGCTAGACTGTCGCTTGGCACAGCTGATGAGCTCTTTGAATTCGCTCATGGAGCTTAGAGAGCGGATTCTTCGTGCTCCAGATGGAATATATACTCATGACGACCTAATGGAGGTAAACGAAGACATTGAACAGGTTCGTGCAAAGAAGAAGGCTCTTATAAGAAAATAACAAATAAAGTGTGTCAAGATCAGTATTTCTATTTAGTTGTTTACACTCCGATTGCGTGAAATGTTGTACTGAGGCCGAACAGTGTTATTAGCGCGAAGGTGCTGAACAATATAGTCTCTCATGTAGCTGTTACCCTCTTCAACAGCAAGATCACTTGACATGTAACCCATGAGATTGGCAACGTCATTTAATCTTTGCACTCTTTGCGAGACGCGAATGGGTTGAACCGACTCGTCAAATAAACAATAGTCGGCATCAGATATTATACGTCTGTTAATCACGTAGTTATGCAGCACCATAGCTGTGTAAATTGTAGTGGTAGCATTTAAAAGGTTCCGTGAGATAGGAGATCGAAATACCCGCCATTTTGTAGTCAAAAGACCAAAAGCCATTTCAATTCTGATTCGTATTTGACTAGCATGGAAATTGAATGAGTCGTGGTACTCGTCAACAATTTGATTGCGTGTAAATGGCGTGATCAAATGCTCACTCACAGGATACGCATTGTCGCCGATGATATACATTCCTGTAGGAAATGATTTGAGACTTCTCGCCACACCAGTCCCACGAAAAGCACGTGCATCATTTGTACTTCCTGGATAGCTGGCATCCACAGATATGAAGCGACAATGCGCATCGCACACGGCCTGCACATTGATACCAGGACATGCATAGTGTCCACTATAATAGCGTCCAGTTCCTACGTCTCCAGCGTCTTCAGCTGAAGGCGCCTTAATAACACATAGCCATCCGTCTACGCAGCCGACACAACCGCTTATTATTCCACTGGAGCTGATAGCCTTAAAGTCGTTCATCACAACCTCTCTGTCCGATTCAGAATCAGGAAATACGATTTTCAATTCTCGTAGACCGAGAATCGCAAACATTGTCTCGTTAATGACGCGGTAGTAAGAAGATCCACTAATTCATACAGTACGGCGAATATCAAGATACGAACCACCAGCTAAATAACGCAGTGTAGTCATGAGCATAAGTGGAGGCGATATTGGTTCTTCCCCGCTCGAGTTGGCAGATTGCTGTCTATTAACCTCAATATTTGGTGTTAAGAGCCCCAACAGGTACGAAAAACTGTCGGCAGTCATTCGAAAGGTTTGCTCGAACATGTTTTCATTCAACAGCATCTCAATTTCGAGATCAACATCGATGCGATGACGCGAGTAGCGCGAGTTCCGTGTTCGTGCTTGCAATAGAACGAACAGCAGCAGTATCGTTTGGACGTTGGCTCGATCGCGAAGACGACGAGTGATCGCTATGATCTCGCTGGGTGTGCGCATTTCGTTGCGATAGTGGAAGAGAACAAATGCAAAGCGATCAAAGTGATACATCGCAGCTATAGGCTAATATTAGATGTCAACCACCCCTCCTTCAACCTTAGCCACTAAGGCCATCCACTAGTTTTAAGTTTGTTCTTAGCCGAATCAAGCACAAAAGGTACCATCCACCTTAACTCTCATCCACTTGCAAGAAATCGGCTAAGAACGGCCCTTAGTAAGTACAAGTACAAGATAAGTCCGTTGTAGTAAGTTAATCGAAAAAATCTATCTTAACCCCTTACTACTGTACTAACGGTCTTTTTAGGTACCGGCAACAAGTTCTTTCAGCAACCGCCCCTTTTGAAAAAGAGTTTGTTACCTTCTTAGCCCAACCATACCCCCCTTTTAATTTAAAAGGGGTAGCGAAGTTGGGTTGTGTGATATGAACTCGATTCATCTCCATAAAATAAAATGGTGTTGCATACGTCGTTTCTTCGTTCACCAGCTGGAACGGATCACCGCCAGCATCATGTCCCCGCAGTAGCCCAGCGGATATCCGCTGGGCTTCTTGACCGGGGGGCAGGATGAACACCTTGTACTCCTGAGATTCCATTTCCAAGGCCACCCCAGCGCGTGGTTGGTTTTCGCGGCCTTTGACAAGGTACTCACGAATACGCTCGTACCCATTGGAATCTTCAAGTGAATCTGGGATCAGCTCCCAGCATAACGCGCTTAATACTGGGGTGATCGAGCTTCAAGAGCTCGTGGAGCTTGTGAAGTCGAGCCAGTTGCACCACATCCACCGTTGACGGTCTTAATGACATGCATAAGCTACAAACTAGGCAGCCAAATAAAATACTGGAAACTTACAACAAGGCGTTGTGCAGTTTCGTATTAATAAGTGAGGCAGCTTGGCAGTAACACTTGTGCACTCCGCTTCGTCGAAGTTGGATGACCTGGTGCCTCCTGGGCCTTAAAGAAAATATCGAAGGTAACAATCGAGATCACGACACTACCCCACTTTAAGTCTTACCAGCCTAGCAACGTGGGAGTAAGGCATTGTCGCCCACTTTCACAAGTTACTGAAGCCGCTTAATGCCGAGCTGCAGAAATCAAAAGTGAGCAGCACGGAGGCATCAGCCAAATTCTTCTCTACCTTCCCGGAAATCTACTGCGAGCCTAGTGCCATCAATCTGGCGGCACTTATGGCCGCATGTACAGTACTGCTGTCTTACATGATGTGGGCCACATCTGTCATGCCAATCAAAAAGATACACTCATCTTGAAGTACTGTACGTGTCAAGTTGACATTTTATTGCGATGGTATCTATTGGAACTCGCTCCCCCGTTTACGGACGTCATGGCATGGTGTCGTGCTCGCAGCCTCTGGCGTCTGAGGCCGGGCTGCGCATCTTAAAGCAAGGCGGCAACGCCGTGGACGCCGCCATTGCCATCGCTGCGGCTCTGAACGTCACGGAGCCTTGTTCCACTGGCGTAGGAGGCGACTGTTTCCTGCTCTTCTATGACGCAAAGTCCAAGCAAGTTCGAGGACTCAACGGAAGCGGTCGCAGTCCCGCAGCTCTCACAGCGGAGCAGGCGATCAAAGATCTGGGGGAGGACGTTACAGTGATCCCCGGTGGCCACGGCCACGCTGTCACAGTCCCCGGGACAGTTGCAGGCTGGGTCGATGCGGTGGAAGCCTGGGGTTCTCTGACCATGGCGGAAATTCTGGGTCCTGCCATTGAATTGGCCCGTGAAGGGTTTCCTGTAAGTCCGCTGACTGCGGCGAGTTGGGAGCGTGGCAAGAGTCAATTGCTGCGTGGTCCAAACGCTGCTGAGCTGCTGAATGCTGAGGGGCAAGCGCCGAAAGCTGGGGAGATTTTCAAGAACGAAAATCTGGCGAAATGTTTCGAAGAAGTGGTAAAGAGTGGCAAGAAAGCCTTCTATGCGGATGGACGCATCGCTCAAGCCATCGTGGACATGGTGAGGGAGAAAGGGGGCGTGATGACGTTGGAGGACCTTCAAACGCACCAATCCACGTTCGTGACGCCCATCAGCACGAGATTCCAAGGCGTCGACGTGCACGAGATCCCTCCTAATGGTCAGGGGATTACGGCGTTGTTAGCGTTAAATATCCTAACGCAACTTACAAAAGAAGGAGGTCTGCCACCTCAGGGTAGTGCCGACTTTGTGCACTTACAGATTGAAGCTCTTCGTCTTGCCTTCGTAGACGCCAAGTGGTTCGTTAGTGACATGGAGCACAACACGGCGCTGCCTGTAAAGGAACTACTAAGTGAAAACTACGCTAAAAAGCGTGCAACTCTTATAGATCGAACGAAGGCCGCGATCGATCCGAAGCACGGAAGTCCGGAGCTGAGCTGCGACACTGTGAGTTTCCAGGTCATTGACGGTCAGGGCAACGCTGTATCCATGGTGAACAGCAACTATGAAGGATTCGGAACGGGTCTTGTACCCAAAGGTTGTGGGTTCACACTGCAGAATCGGGGCTGTAACTTTGAGCTGCACGGGTCCAAAGTGGGTCATCCGAATGCTCTGGCGCCGAGCAAACGTCCGTACCACACGATCATCCCTGGCCTTTCAACGTTTGCTGACTCGGGAGAGTTGCATTCCAGTTTTACCGTCATGGGCGGCTTCATGCAGCCTCAGGGCCACGTCCAGGTGCTGAGCAACATGCTGTTGCATGGGATGAACCCACAGGAGGCGCTTGACGCCCCACGTTTCAGTATTGACGTGGACCGCCCTACGAAACCTGGTAGAAGCGATGGCGGTAGTTCAGTACTGGTAGAAACAGATCTGGGCGACGCTGTGATTGCTGCGCTTCGTGAGAAGTTCGGCCACAATATTCAAGAGGTGGAAGGATTCAAGCGCACGACGTTCGGTCGCGGACAGATTATTCTGCGTGACCCAACGACTGGGGTGCTCTGTGCTGGCTCGGATGGGCGTGCCGACGGCTGCGCCATGGGCTGGTAAAGCTCACATTGAAGACAATGGCTACAGTTTTGCGTCGCTAAAGAAAGAAAATTTCCAAAATTAGAGTTGGTAATCTTGGGTTTCACCAGAAATTTTGACACTACACGAATAACTGCAGTGTTCTACCGCCAAAAATGATGATAGCAAGGCTTCTGGAAGGCTACGATGCAGCTGCTAGTAAGAGAGAAGATAGCAATCAGCTTCAAGCTCCTGCGATTGCTACTCCCACGCCACGCCCACCGTTGCCTAGAGGCTCACCGATTTCATACACATCTCACGCCATGATGCTACAGCTTCAGGAATATCGATCTCGAGTTCGAAATGCGTTCGAATCGACGTATCGACACCCTCTTACTGCTTCAAAGACCCCTCGATCGTCACGTAAACGCAGCTGTCACAGTGGAAATTACTGTCGAACGCGCGTGCTCGAGTCTTCGCGACTGCTTTTCTCTCAGCAGACGCGTAGTACTACATGTAGTACCGCACCAGCGCCCTCCTCTCCAACTCGCACTTTGATCAAGGGCGGTGGCGTCGCCTTCCATCGTACAACGACGTCATCACGCGCAACAGCCAAGTCGAACCTCTTCGCACTCGGTCCAGGACAATATGACGTCGCACCTCGACGTCCAGCCACGACTGGGAGCGTTAAATTCAGTCCAGCCGATAGATTCCCCGAATATTCTGGCGGTGGCGTCAGTGACGCTCACGCACCAGGTCCTGGTCAATATCTTCCTAACGACTGCGTCACTGTAAAACGTTCTGCTCGTGTCGTATTTTCCCAATTACCGAGACAGACGGAGACGGCAGCGCCACCTCGAGCTTCCGTAAAAACGGCTCCAGCTACCGCTGATGTCGTTTCTAGCTTTTACTTCAAGCCAGCCAGCGGGTTTGTAAGCCCCACGGACAGCGTCTCGAAAGCGGGAGGAGGCATCCCAAATTGGAGTCGCTCGGCCAGATTTACAGGTCGAAGAGAGCGTTTTCGACAAATTTCGCGTAATTTATCGCCTCCAGTTGATTATATTTCACGTAACAAAACTAAAGTCGAGAACATGTCGGCTAAACAACGACAAAATCGCAGTAATCAACCGACGATACGAGAGAAAGTAACGTCGAAAGACCGGCAAATTTGCTCTGTGAGGCGACGGGATTCTGTATTTTGTATGCCTTTGGATAGCTCTGACAAGGACAATAATGCACGAAGACGGAGAAGCTCTGCAGGCTCTGTGCATAGTGTCGAGACGTCTGAAAGCGAGATTATTTCGCACGCATGGGGGACACTAATTGTGCTCTCCGTGGCCCAAACGAAGCTGGTCAGTCTGCTCGTGGCTTCAGTTGTGCTCCATCGGCTTCGTCGAGCTCAGGAAATGCGCTACAAGCGTCTTACCTTCGAGTCCTGGACACAAGTGCGGAGTCGAGATTCCATGCAAGCTTTAGCTGCAGCGTTAATTGCGCGCAGTACCTTCCGCTTGCGCTTGAGTCTGCGAGTACAGCAGAAGACTCGCGCCGCAAAACTGTTAAGGATGTTCCTTTCCGGTCTTTCGTTCGACGTTAGATTTGCCATGGCGGTTCGCAGAATAAAGCGACGAATTATTTTACTTCAGCGTTGGTGGCGCCACGCTCGACTCGTGGTACGTGCTAGAGAACAATGTTTAGCGTGCAAGTGGCTGAACGTTGAGCAACGTTTACGGACGGAGACTATCGCTCAGATGCCGTATCTTACGCGAGTTTTCCAGCCTCCTTCGACTCCCATGTCAATTTCTCCTCCTCGTGTTTCAAGTGCCTCGACAAAGAGGAAAGCGTCAACAATTACAGTGGAAAAGTCAGTACCACTGCACAAATTACTGCATCTACCAGATCAAAAGCGTTGGTTTAATGGCCGATTTGTGTTGGGTCCTGATGGTTCTCTCCGTGGCTACGCTGTCCCTGATACTGACACCAACGAGACCGACAATGCCGCAGGAGAGCGTCTGGTGGTGGAGGTGAAGCACTTCCGATGCCACGCTCATGGCTTTGATAAGGTATCGATGGGCTCGAAACATATCGAGGACGCAGGTGAGAGAGACAATACCATTGTACCGTATTTGATGGTGTTTAAGCCTGGGGCCAGTCGCTTCGTGCTGATCACAGACACTACCAGTCTAATCCTCGCACCACTGCTAGACTGGAGAGAAAAACTTGAGCAGATCGCGAAATATCCCAACGGAATTTCCTACTCTGCTACTGGATCTCAAAGTGATATCACAGAAATGCTCTTGCAAACGGATGAGTTGGGTCTAGAAGACCTCAACGAAGAGCCCGTAGTAGCAACTTTAAACTCGCGCAGAATGAGTGTTTCATCTAACGGAGAACGATCCGGGTCAGTGGTGCAAGGTCGTAGACGTAGTAGTCGCTGTTCTCTGCGACGAAGTAATATTTTTCAGCCGCTAGCTGAAGGAAACTTGTCGTATTACGTCGTGGATTTACTACGCGACTGTCCACGTATACCAGCGCCGATTGTTTGGAACGCACTACGCGATAAACTGCGAGAAGAGCGCAAGAACTTTCGATCCGATATATATCGCTTCAAACTCGAGATCGCTCGATACCAGCAGCACGAACAAGAGCGACGGCAACTGGTTGTGCTGGACAAATTCAAGGAATTCTTCGTAGGTTTGCAAGCTCAATTTTCTATTGTCTTGGTGATCCCTAACCGATATTTGTCTTGTAAACTCCAGACAATGGAGCGACCTCACCGCCCACATTTCCGAAGTCTCATCTCGAATCGGAAAATGGAAATTCTTGTCCGCGAAACTTTGGAGTTCGTGAAAACTACGCAACCGTCCAACCCAAAATTCATGTTGACTTCGTGAAATTCCAGTTAAGTACGAAATATATCAGATCGTTTCAAAAACCTAAATCATGTGTTCTGGATTTTGTGTCGTATCCGTTATCGGAGCTGTTTGCTGTTAGACGAGCGCCATTCCGACAATCGCCACCCAGGCAATGCAGCTCTGGAAGGTATTATACGCCGCTTTGGCGCTGAGTCTGCCTCTCGTGGTAGAATGCGCCCCATCCAGTCACCACCATCACCATCATTCATCGAGACATCGCTACAGTATCGAAGGCACCAAAGCCGCCATGGACGCAGCGCTGCAGAACCGTCATCCGCGTCTGGATATCCGCAGTATCAAGGCGATACAAAGCTCGAATGAGCCTGTGACTGCAGACACCAGAGTGCGAGCAGATGTCGTGGGCTCCGACAAGGACGTGGAGGCTTTTGCCGCTTCGGGGGAACTGCATTCGACCACCGAAATTCATCATGGCAAGTATATCCACGGTAAAATCTCCACCACTTCGGCGCCTATGAAGGTTCACAAACATAAAAAGTACAATGAAGAGGCGGTAGTGACGAAGGACAGAGGTGAGGTGGCTGCATGTGTGAGACGCACAGAGGGATATTTGGACGAGTTGACGCGGAACGGAGCGAACGACAGCGCTGTGTACTCGGAAAGTCCGTTCTTCGAGTGTTTCCGCCCGTCGCACGAGGTCTTTGACTTCTTGGACACACTGACGGAGCAGAATCCGCAGTTTATCACTAAGTACGAGAACGTTTCGGTCACATATGAGGGTCGAGCGATCCCGGCTTTCAAGATTTCGACCTCGGAAGATGCTTCCAAGAGAACTTTATACACGCAAGCTTTGATCCATGCGCGTGAGTGGCAAGCGGGCGCTGCTACGTTCTACACGATGGCGTCGATGATCGATGATCTACGAGCTGGCAACCAGGCTGCGACCAGTCTTTTTGAAAAACTCGACTGGTATTTCGTGCCTATTGTGAATATTGACGGATACCAGTACACGTGGGAGGCTGATCGAATGTGGCGCACGAATCGCCGCTTGACCGAGTTAAACGGCGAAACTGTGGGCGTGGATCTGAACCGCAACTGGCCACCTGAAGAGTATTTCAACCTTGATCCGAGCGAGGTGGACAGCGAGACGTATCCTGGTGAATACCCACTTAGTGAGCCATCTACAGCGGGTTTGTTCGACTTTATCACGAGTTTGGACTCGCTGAGTGGCATTTTGGACATGCACACGTTCGGTGGCCAAGTGTTACGTCCATTCAGTAACCAGCCAGGCAGTGGGGCTGAGCCTTTTGGCTCGAGAATGGGAGCGTTGGGAGATAGTGTACGCAGGGCGCTATCCACTCAACCTGCTGTGCAGTATCAGAGCGAGACGGGGGCCTATCTGTACAAAGCTTACGGATGCTTTGATGACGGGATGTTCCTCCAGTATAACCTCACAGTGCCGGCCTTGACTATTGAAGTTGAAGGAAGCGACTTTGTGTCGCCGCAGAGCACTATTCGACCTGTGGGCAAGAACATTTATTTGGGTCTGCGTCAGTTTGCTCATGAAGCTTTAGAGTACAGCAAGTTTGTTGAACAGGCGTAAGGCGACAGTAACTACGAAGAGCTTTACTCTGAGACGGATCGCTTATACTTAGCTAATACTACTGTAGTACTTTGAAGGAAATACTAACGTTAGTATTACGATATCAAAAGATAAAAATTAGAGCAAAATAGCTTTTATACTAAAGGCAATCCTCTTTGGAGTGGTATCCCAAATAGTGATACCCTTTATGGAGGTCGGAGTGGAAGTAGCTCACCAAACGAACAAATCGATAGTTATGTACCTCTGCATATTAATTCTCACTGATTTTGTACAGTACTTCATCCCGTTTACGCGGGGGTGGACTGCAGCGGGGCTGCCGTAGCTTTAGCGTCAGAGGAAGACGTTCGACTCAAAGAGTCACTAATACTAAGTTCCTTATCCAAAGGACACTTACAGCCCAAGACCAGGGCTCAAAGTTAACACCTTAACTTTTATGCTTCAAAACCAGAAGTGTTTTATTTACTATTATTGCGGCCAAGCCGCCTAGGGGTAAATGTATCTCTTTAACTATCTAGCATAGTTAAACCTAATCAAATGCATAACGTGTGGCTTTCAGCCAACGTACTGAGAGACCTTGTTAACTCTCCAACTTATGTACTGAGAGTTTGTTAACTCTCCAGGTACTTCGTACCCCTGTGTGCTCCACACCATGTAACCCCGTTACACTCTCCCCCACTAAGATGAGAACATTCCGTTCTCGAAACTCTCCTCAGCGAGGTCACGTCTTTGTTAAGACGGCGGAGGTTACTACACCTCACACCAGCGTTGTACAGCTCCGTGAGCTCACAAACGCCTACGCATCGTTGATGCCCAACTTTCTCGTCGTCGGCCCACGGGCCCAATGCTTCAAGCGCAGCGCGCATCCTTGCTCTCAAGCG